TGACAGTGTGTTCTTTGTTAAGATACATCATGGTTGCATGAATAAAGATGGTCCCCAGGCAGACTATTTGATCCAGGGTTCAGTTCCTCAAGATCTCAGCTTTGAATTTTGCATTATGTGTGTTGGTGATGATTGAAAATAGCTTTTTGAGATTCCTGACAGTTAGTTTCAATCATACTGTTGAGGTTATGAAGCTGTTTTTCACATTAATTTTTGCTTACTTGATGACATTGAAAAGGGAGACTCGACTCACTTATATTACTGTTATTCCCGTTATTACTGGGGTTATCATTGCCAGCCAGGGTGAACTGAGTTTTCATCTATTTTGGTTTTATCATGTGCATTTCATCCCCAACAGCAAGAATTCCATGAACTCCCTTCCGTACATGGATCCTATAGCTGAAGTGTTTCTACTTTCTACAATGCTCATTACAGAAGAAAACATGATCAGTATCACACTTGCCCTTGCCCGAGATGATATCAAAATCAGTTGGTATCTCTTATTCAATTTGATACTAGCATATCTTGTGGATTTGAGCAACTTTTTGGCCATACCAATATCTCATTTGTATTCCCGCTGAGTTTTGTTCTCAAGTGGTCTTGTGACATCATACAAAAGCATCATTGACCAGAAATCCGGGCAGAAGCCACAGGAAAGGATGAATGTGTTGTCAAATGTTTTACGAACATCTGAGTAGAAGCTACAACATGATGAATGTGTTGTCAAACGTTTTACGAACCAGTGATTATGATGCTGAACCAATGTTGTAACCATATGGTATTTCCATTTATTGATCCAAGATGAAGTCTGTCTTCTCCAACCAAGGTTAGAAGCGAGATATGATGAAGATTTCTTTCCACAGAAGGGAAACTGAAATTTTAACAACAAGAACTAGTGGAGCAACTAAGGATGAACGACAGGTTGTTGTTAAGCATCTCGACATGATATGGTCCAAGTTACTTTGTTCCAATCCTAAGTCCCGACAAAGAAAGCTGATTTATCCAAGACAAAATAGGGCATCAAGGTCATAATTCTGACTATAGCAAGAGTTCCACAATGAAACATTTATTTGAGACTTAAATGAAGCAAAGACACCAAGATACAAGTTGATCAGATGGTTTTTCAGAAATGCAAGCTTGATAGCATAAGTTGCTACACTGATATCCAAGGGTAACCCTGGAAATAAATGATGAAGTGGAGGAAGACCGAGTTCACCACTTTGAAGTCAATGAAGATTGCATCACCATTCATGCATCATATTTAGACATTCATTTTATCCATGTTGAATATTTGACAGGAATTTTCAAAGATTTTAGCAAAGATTCAAATCCATCATTCAATGGATCAACATTTCCGGAAGAGTTCATAATGAGAAGAACTCATCTGAAGAAAGAAGAAGAAGTTCATAATGAGAAGAACTTGTTCAACTTTTCGCTTGAATTCATCATTCGATGGATCAGCATTGTTAGGTCGAGTTCATAATGAGAAGAACTCATTTGAAGAAAATGAAGAAGTTCATAATGAGAAGAACTTGTTCAACTTTTCGCTCGAATTCATCACTCGATGGATCAACTTGTTAGGAAGAGTTCATAATGAGAAGAACTCATCTGAAGAAGAAGAAGTTCATAATGAGAAGAACTTGTTCAACTTTTCGCTTGAATTCATTATTCGATGGATCAACATTACCAGGAAGTGTTCATAATGAGAAGAACTCATCTGAAGAAGGAAGAAGAAGTTCATAATAAGAAGAATTTGTTCAACCTTTTTGCTTAAATTCATTATTCAATGGATCAGCATTGCCAGGTCAAGTTCATAATGAGAAGAACTCATCTGAAGAAGGAATAAGAAGTTCATAATGAGAAGAGCTTATTCAACCTTTTGCTCGAATTCATCATTCGATGGATCAACTTTTCCAGAGAAAGTTCATAATGAGAAGAACTCATCTGAAGAAGGAAGAAGAAGTTCATAATGAGAAGAATTTGTTTAACCTTTTGCTTTAATTCATCACCTAATGGATTAGCATTGCCAGAGAAAGTTCATAATGAGAAGAACTCATATGAAGAAGGAAGAAGAAGTTCATAATGAGAAGAGCTTGTTCAACCTTTGTTTGATGCTATCACAGAAGGAAATAGATCATTATCAGCATTTTCAGAAGAAGTTCATAATGAGAAGAGCTTGTTCAACCTTTTGCTCAAATCCACCTCTTTTAAGGATCAGCATTTCCAGAAGAAGTTCATAATGAGAAGAACTCATCTGAAGAAGAAGAAGTGCATAATGGGAAGAACTTATTTAACCTTTTGTTCGACTCGTCATAGAGAGAAATATATCAACATCAACATTGTTTAACCTTTTGTCAAATCCATCACAGAAGGAGGTGGATCGTCATTCCCAGCAAAATGTTCATAATGAGAAGAACTTATAGCTCAGAAGTTTAAACATTTCAAGCTAAAAATGGTGTTTTTATGTCTTTGCTCCATTCATGTTCCACAGCAACGAGCAAAGAGGGGCAGCTGTAATCACCATTTTTACCTCTCCATTCCAGCAGCTCCACGTTGCATTTCCAGTAATTTCCAGCAGCTGCAGCAGCTCCACGTAGCAGCTACAAACCGCCTCCAGAACAGCCACGTTTCCAGCCGACTCTTCAGCTACCACGCGGTGTCACCTCTGCCATTGCCGTGTCCAGCCGTTACCATGACACCATTGAGGATTCCAGAAGCCAGGTGCCCCCCTATACGTCGATGCCCCAGGGTGAGTCACCACACAGTTCGGTGACTCACCGAAATCCACTCTTGGGACTGGTCCGAGACAAGGTCCGACGAGGCTATAAAACAACCATCACCTGCAAGATAAAGGGAGGAGAGGAACCAAGACACAGAGAAAAGAAAGAAAAAAAAACGGAGAGGAGAACAAGGAAGCCAGAAAGCCAAACAGCCACCAAAATCCATCAAATATCAAAATAAAAAATAGAGAGATACTTACTGAGGAAGCCACGCCATCACCGGCGTTCCCACGCACCCATACGAGCCACCGTTAAAATCGAAATACCAAAGGTATTTCTTTAGATTTGCGAAAATACATAGCTTTTTAGGATAAACGAGGGTCAGATTTGGGTTGAGATCACTCGGATCTATATTTTGGGGAAATTTTGTGTTTTCCGGCCAAAGGCGGCGGTGGCCGGCGGCGGTGGTCGACGGTACCGGAGCACGGCTGCCGGCCGATGGTCTCCCTCTCTGTAATAGAGAGAAGGCAGAGCTTCTCTCTCCTAGAGAGAGAAGCTGAAATGGAAAAATAAAAGAAATGGCTCAAGAGAGCAGATTTTTAGGGTATTTATACCCTCATCAAAACGGCGTCGTTTTGATGAGGGGTCTGGGTGTAATTTCAAAATAGTTAAAATAAACGCACAGTCATCTGAAGTTTATAAACTTTCATTTTTGCCACTGAAATCAATTTATGAACATATTAATATTATCTTCGAATTTTATTTTATTCTATTTTAATCATTATCTGTATATTTACATGCTTAAGGTAAAATACCATGATTAATCCTTTTAGTTTTAAACAAATTTAATTTTAGTCCCATATAATTATATAGGTTAAATTATACTGATAATATTTAGGCTTTATGGTATTTCGAATAATGTCCCTTAATTTTGATATTTTATAAATTAATCACTAATTTTTATAAATTCTCAACATTGACTATGAATTTTATATGAATATGATTTAATTGTTCTAATTTAAATTATCTTTGTTTTTAATACTTTCCCAAATTTGTTGTCAATTAACTACTCATAACAGATTAATTCACCTTTAATGTTTCATTTTCCTTAAATATTTGTAATCTTGATGTTTGTATCTTTGACTTTATTTTTTTTCTTACTTTATTTTTCTTTGCATTTATTTATAATTGGTATCTTAAATTTACTTTCCATTTCATCCATTTTAATCATAATATACATTAATACTATTTGACTTTATTATATAACTATTTATTAAACATAAATTTCTTTTAGTATTTATTCTATTCATTTACAAAGATTGCTTTTCTTATATTTATAGATGGTATTTTATTATAACGTTAAGTGTGTTTATATTATAGTTTTAATTTTGTTTATTTTATTCATTATTAGATTGCAATTTATTTTAGTATTATCCTTTTAATTTCAATATGTTTAAATTATTACTTTAATTATTATCTTAGTCATGTAAATATATATATATATATATATATATATATATATATTTTGTTTAAATTAAAAATTATAATTTAGTTTTATTTAAATAACTTTTATGAAAAATTATTACATTTTTAATAATATTTATTTATTTTTTAATATTAAGAAAAGAGCTGTCTTAAGGCACCTAGAAGTCCTTTTCTGATATTTTAAATAAATAAATATATTTTAAAATAATATGATTATAATTAAATATATTTTGGATTTTTTAAATTTTAATAATAGAGACAATTTATAATTAAAAAGTACCAATTTTGGGCGTTGTAGGGGTGCTAATCCTTCCCTAAACGTAACCGACCACGAATCCCTTTTTATTATTAAAAAGAATGAATTTTTGGTTATAAACGCAGATCAGTTCATTTTTTTTTATTAGTGTTTTCTTTAAAACTCTTTTAAAAAAAATAATTTTTTAGGTATTCGACCTACCTGACCCAAAAGGCCGATGGCGACTCCCAAATTATTTTCAAAACTATTTATTCAAATCAATTTCCCCGCCAAGTATAATATTTCGTGCCCGGACGAAAACCGGTTACGACAACTTGGCGACTCCGCTGGGGATGATGATGACCTCCTTTTTGTGATAGAGTCATTCAAAAGGTTGAATAAGCTCTTGATGAGTTCTTCTCATTATGAACTTTTTCTTCCTTCTTCAGATGACGAGTTCTTCTCATTATGAACTCTTCCTCTGGAAAAGAATGATCCATCAAGTGATGAATTCAAGCGGTACAAGATTCTTTCATTGTACTAAACAAATCATTGAACTGTCTCGGACCCTTTCTGAGAATCGAAGATTCGGATTCTTTGGCAAAGATCACCTCGGCAGCAGAACCTCCTTGTGTATCATCTGCAAATGCCATGGGAACTTGATTCGGAAATGCTTCTGCCATGCTCTGATGAGCCTGGCGAAGGACCCCGGTCGCATGATCATATCTTTCAGCCAATGCACGGTACGCTCTATAACTCTTCTACCAATTTCATTAACTCCGGGCGTTTCTTGTAATACATCTCTGCTCGCCTGGCAAAGGAATCGGCATCTTCTTCGATGAGCTTGATCATTTGCTTGACTTTAATATCCATACCTGTTCAAGCAGAGCAGTTATTGATCATCAAAATACAGGTGCAAAGATTGAAAATTTCAATGCAGCAATCACACAAAGGGAAGCGTAATGCCAATACCACCAGGAAAAAACACATTGCTTTCGTTAATCAATTTAGCTCTTTCAAACTTACAAGCTTCTAATCCATGGTCATGTGATCAAGTACCTGTTAGATTCTCCTGGAGCCATTTAGAATTTTTAGGGCTGATATGGCTGTTCCACCACCATGAGTGCATGCCTTTCGAATCCGACCACTTCACGGTTGCCATGACTTCAGTCCTCAACACCACCACTTCCGAATTCTAGCCAGCAATTACAAATCTTAATTACGAAACAAAACGAGGAGCCGGATCAACACGGAACCTACAACTTGACCCCTGATATCAACAAACAAGAACCAAAGAATTCGATTCAGTTTTGACATGAAAGGAAAATGCATCTTGATCATATGATGAGGAACATGAGAAGATATCAAAATAACCTGGTCAAGACAATCCAATCCTCCAAATATGTTTTGTAAAACGGAAACCAGTAACAGGCAATCGTTGTCTCTGATCAATAGAACATGTGATTAAACCAGAGAATCTGATCAATCAAACAAAAGGTGTTTTAAATAGAACTTGCAGATTCGGAGTCAAAGTGTAGCACAAACTTAGTCATGTTTTATCAACTTAACCATAATTCAACAACAAAAATGACCTGGAAAAGGCACACTAAACTATCAGAATTAAAAAAAACAAAGAAAAAGATACGAGTGATCTTCCTTTGGTAAAACTCTATGGAGTCTCGGATGTTTTGGGTTGCTTTAGTATGCTGGATTCTAGTGCTAGTATCGAGGGGCTGTCCAAGTTGAAATGAAAACAAATACCACTAAAACAGGAAATATTTATTTATGATAAATAGATATGTATACAGAGCGTCGTAAAATATTTTTTGGTAATTAATGATATATATATATATATAATGCTTAATGTATATTTTTAATTTAGTAAAATTGATGCATTAAAAGATTTCTTTTTGAAATTTCAAAAAAAAAATCTGAACTGATGCTGATAAACATCCAGAAAATATTAACAAGGTTGATGAAAACTTAATTGCATTGGTTTTGTCTGATACTAGAGATTAATTGGAATTGTTGATAATATTTTTTTGTTATTAGGACTGAAATAAAATTATATTTTTTAAAAGTAAATTTTTAGATTTTTTAGGAAGTTGTGATATTTTTTAAAAAATATAAATTTTAAGTTTATGATTATTTGAATTTTTATTATATCTCATTGCGTTACATTATCTTTTAACTCGTAATTTTTTTTTTGTAATCCTAATTTTTTTTTATATCTCACATAAAATTAAAATTGTTTTGAGACGAAGTAGTATTTTATTGGACAAAAAAGAAATACAAAATAAAAATATAAGGGTTAATTTCACAAAAATATAGTAGAATAATTAAAATAAAAATTTAATTATAATACAAACGCAATAAATACATATTGGCTTATTTAAGAAAGGATTTTTAAAAATTCACCCATAATGCCAAATCATTCATAGATTAAGTAACAATTAAATATATTTAATATGTAATTAATATTAAAAATATTTTTTTGGGGTACTTAAACGACAAGCAAGGAAACGAGGATTTTGTACGTCTGGGTTGAGGTTTCAAAGATGTTCTTTGTATCTCGTGTTTCTCGTTGTTTGACTTTACATTTTTAAATTTAGTTTAGTAGTTAATTTTTTTTAAAAAATTTTTAATTTAATATTAGGGTAAACTACTCGATTGGTATTCTCTTTTATATTTTTATACTTTTACTCACTAAATTTTATCTTATCAATTTATGATTACTTATGATATCAATTGTTACATTTTGGTCACTAATTTGTTAATCCTGACTAGTTTAATGACGATGTATGCTAGTTAAAAGGGGTTAATTTTTAATTTTACTTCTGAACTTTAGATGAAGTACTAGTTAGATCATGAACTCTAGATGACGTATCATTTTAACCCTTAAACTTTAAATAAAATATCTATTTGACACATGAATTCGATCAAAGTCTCTTGTCACCATCACCACTCACCACTGTTATTGTCAATCATCATTAGTCAATATCGACTGTTGTCTCTGTCAACTTTTAAATCTCAAAATTTACAGTTAACTCCTTTTTAACGTTATAAATACGAATATAGTGTTAATTTCACCGAAAATATCTAAAACTCAACAAATCTAATCTAGGATTTTTCACTTCTTTAAAAGTAAATCATAGTAATAATTTTATTATCAATATCCCTTTTAAAACAAAAAACACAAAAAAATATAAATTAATATCATAGCTAAATGCACAAATCTACATGTGGGGAGCAAGGGGTTTCCATCGTCAAGTGTTCGGTTGTTCGCATGCCATTTGAGTTTCGATCGATTGATAAAGGGTTTCGAATTAAAAATTTTAAGGGATTTTAGTTTTTTTTTTTATAACTTCAAGGAAAAAGCAATTTTTTAAATAATTTTAAGTGATTTCGAAAAATACTTTTTAATTTTTTTTAATACAACACATCTCAGATAATAGGATTTTTAATCACAGTTATAACGTATGTACTTAAAATTATAACATTAGAAATAGTAAGTATTTATTTTGAACGAAAAATTCTTTAAATATCTAAAATTAAAAAGAGTATAGTCTGAGATTTTTTTTTCATCAAGCCCATTTAATATGCATGGGTTTTAGTAAGTCCAAATACATACATACCATCTCCATCTCCATCTCCATCTCCATCTCCATCTCCATCTCCATCTCCATCTCCATGATCTTATATAATAATTTAAGTCCATCCCAATCCTTAAAAAAAAACCCACAAAAAATTCACCAATAGGCCTAAACTAGAATATTACTCATATTAGATTGAACTCGTATTGACTCAGCTCACTCGACTCTCTATTAACAAAGTACAGTTTCCAAGTTAGCATATATCCAAAAAAAGTAACTTACAGTTTTATTAGATATTCAAATTACAAACAAAATTTATAAAACTAATAGTAAATCGATTAATTAAATTGGACATTTCTTTTAAAACAATTAAAATATATAAATTATCTATTTAGGAATAAGAAAAATCATGTGGGAAAAGAATGGGAATTCAATTAAACAATTTGGACAAATGAGATACAAACTAACATTATTATCATCACGGAATGATATACATCAACACTAATACAAAAATACATATAATAATATTAATTCATCGACAAATTGATATTATTGAAATCGAACCAATATCTATGACTATTTTCAATGAATTCGTATTTTTATAAATGTATCGCCTAATAATCTAAAGTAGACAAAAATAGATCAATAAAATAATCAAATAATCAGTCTTTATATTTGGAGAGACCACGTTCAATATAATTCTAAGAAAAAAATATACTATAAAAATTAATAAAATTATTCATAATTTTATACAAAAAATAATTAAATATAAATAATATAAAGAAAAATTAGCAACTAGAGTTTTTAGTTAATTACTTTCAATGATGGAACTATAACTTCATGAGAGATAATTATTGCGTACTTAAAATTTAATTTTTTAGTTAATTATCTATTTTATTAACGGTGTTCATTATAAAATATGCTATTAATATATATATGTTTGTTATTAAAAATATTTTTGGATCTGTTACTAATTAATTTTTCTTATATATATCAAAAACTTAAAACACAAGTACTAGAGATAAAAAAATGTTAAATATCATATTTAAAAAATATTTCTCTCATTTGTGGTGTGCCATTCATACTTGTTGTTTTCATTTTTGTTGATCAATAGAGGCACTAATTTGATGTTGGTTGTCGACCGCCAATATTTTTAATTAATTTTTTATTTTTATATTATATTTTATTTTTCTCTTGTTTAATTTTTAGTAAGATTGTCATTATGACACGTTTTTCTCTGTCTTTTGATACGTTTTCGGTCATTTGGTCGTTGTTTTTCATTTATCTTTTCTAAGGGTCGATTCGACATTGTCACAACTGATCAATATGACATTTATCTGTTATCATCCTGATCATCCTTACTTTGGACCCTCAGGTTGGATTTGGATACTTGATTGCGTTCGTAGATAGTATTTTCACTTTGTTCGACTCTAATTTGCGATTTTGTCAGCGATCTTTCAATAGCTTGATCTTCCTTACTTTGGACCCTTATTCGAGTTTTAGTTAAGTTTTTTTTAATCTTTTCTTGTATGGTCCTTATGTGGTCTTATGTTTCTAGTTTTATGTCAATGATTTTAGAAAAATATTCTAATTATGTCTCTAAGTTACAATTATGATTATAAATCCCATTATAATCAAATGAGTTATTTACAATGAAGAATGACCAGACTAACAATTATAATGCACGAACAGATATGTTGCATTTAACAATAAGATTAAATGCATTAAATTAGACGAGGATCTAACTCACATCTCTATATTAACTCATGCATGCATCTAGCCTAAGCCAACGGTTATAGAATGAGAAGCCACATTTGAAAAGAACATAAAAGAGAGAGCTAGGTTAAGCAAAATAGTCACTCTTCCACTATAATAAATTAAAAAATAGTCACTCTTCCATTTTTTCATTAACGTTTAAAAAATTACTCTACAATCATTATAATTATCAATAAATTACAAAATAATCACTTTCCCATTAACCCAATTGAATTGATGATGTGACATATTAAAAAACTAATATCTAATTTAATCCTTAAACTATAATTATAAGTAAAATTTTAATTGAACCATTGAGAGATTTTAGTGGTAAAAATATGTTATTCTCTATAAAAAAAATTCAAGTTTGAGTAATTGTATTTGCATTACAAAGTATTAGTGTGTTGCCATAGTATTAGTTTGATTTATATCATATAGTACAAACGATACGCCTCGCATTCAAAAGGCACGCGCCTTGCACTTAGGCTCTAGGGACCTTTTACGTCTTTGTACGATTTGCATCTTTAAAAACCAAGAGGTTGATGAAACCAAAAACAACTAAAATCTTATAATCAATTTGTTTGATTTGAGATTTCGCATTATTAATGTCTTCATCTTTACCATGAGAAAGTGTTTAATCAAGATTACATCGTAGAGAAGTGAAGTTGTTGCATGCATAAAGCAAAAGTTGATATTTGAGCATAAAAACATATACATAAAAGATAGGTCATAGTCCTTCAGATTGAAATGGATATTCCATACAAGTAGAGTGCAATCAAGGTTTTACATTGAAAAAATGTGGAGGATTATTTTTTGTTGAACAAGATGTCAATGATCAATAACCCATATAAAAAATCCAACAAGACTATATAAAAACATGTAATATGAGGTACAAACATAAGAAATAATATTAGAGATTTAGAATTACGAAATTATAAAATTTTAAGTAACATGAAGTTAGATAATAAATAAAAAGTATATACAATTATTTGAACTATATAAAAATTTAAAATTTTATGGTATAATCGCATCTCAATACTCCTCAATTCATTCCTACATGACACTAGTGTCGCTCTCATTTACACAGGAAATGTTCTTGTGCAAATCTCTTTCACCAACCATACACCTTTATTTTTGGAAATAAAAACGAATACTTCTATTGGAAAAGCCTTTGACAGTCTCTCGTCAACCTACTACATACTACAACATATATTAAGTAATAAATAAATAGTAATAAGTTTACTTTATCCTACTAATTAAGTTAATTAATTAAATTTGGATGCTAATTGATTATTCAAAATTTTAAAATCGAACAAACCGACCACAACCAATAGATATTCTCTAATGTTAGCTTCAATCCATGGATAAAACACAAGATCAAAAGAACAACATAAACATGAACGAAAAGGCAAGCATCTTGACAACAAATGACAGTGTTTCACAAAGTGAATTTGGTGCAGGCAAACAAAAGTTGAAGTTAGATGCTGGGATAAAACCTTAGTCATTTTACACAGTGGATTTTCGGCATATATGGTGTGCACTAGAATAAGTATGTATCAGTGATGAATCTAAAAAATTAAAATGATGAATCTATAAATTTTAAAATATAGTTTAAAAATTAATAAACCTTTTGTAAAAAATTTGGATTTGCAATTTTTTTTCTTCTTCTCCCCTAACACGTTAAACTAATTTTTATAATTTTCCCGAAAGAATAAGATGCACATGTTCCCATATGGCCCTAGGAGACTTAATGCATCTACCCTGATGTGTATGGTCTTAATACTTAAGACTCAGATGACGAGTGAAACGAATATCAAACATTTTCGACACATGTAGTTCACTTTTCATACAAGACACATGTTCTTTTTTAGAATACTTAGATTTTGTTTTACGAACACCTGTAGATAATACTGCTTGAACTCGATTTACTTAGAGAAAATAATATTCTCTCCATTATCCATGGAAGATTCAATATCGTGCATATTCAAATTATTAGTAGTATAGTTCATATTCGCTAGGTTTGGAAGTTCACGAAAAGATTCTAACAGGAAATGATAAAAAGAAATCACTTTCTTCAATGAAAATATGACTATAATGCAAAGAGAGAGTAGAGAAGAATCTGCAACTGGTATGAAAGGATCGACGAGTGAAAACAAAAAAGAATACCACCCAAATCCACAGCATTTGAAAAGGATAAAAAATCTCATCATCATCATAATAAATCCTGCTTAAAAATTGGAAACAATATGTTCAATTCCCCAAACAGCTATATTTTTTTTTTAAATCCTAGAGAAGGAAAACAAACAAAAGAAAATCAACTAATGCAACTGTACAAGGCTGTCGAAGCAAATTATATGCGAGGCAGCCATGAATTCGTAAAGTGCAAGCATATCTTGAAAAATTGACAAGCTACGCACCAACAAAGTTAATTAAGCAATGTTCAAGTCAAGTACCAGGTGGATACTTCTAATGGATCTTTCGTTTTGGCTTTCTCCTTCTCATCATCTGCACTGATCAGTTTACCGCGGCATTCAAGAGAGCAAAACGCACGGAAGTCGCTGCAAATTTATTATCATTACACAACAAAATTCAACCCAGTTACCCTAAATACCGCAATGATGTTAATAAATGCCAATAATTGACTAAAAACACACGAACCAAACATAGATATGCGAGAATCATAAACTTAATCTACGGCAAGATGCCCGATACGAGAAATCAATAATCAGAATTCATTAGTTGTTGTCTCATGCCGCAATCAAAGCTTTAACAAACGAAACTTCTGTAATTAACAATTTAAACAAATATTTGAACAAAAAAATCAACATGTAAACAATTCTTTGGATCTCAGATAATAAATAAAAGCAAAGCAACAAAAGGTTTGATTTCCTATTGCTTAGTTTCCATTGCTAAACACAGATCATTAAAGATCAACAATAATTCACGTACCCGTACATAAATCTAGTGTCATTTTGGTGCAACCACTTCTTACAAAGAAAGCATTCGTCCAAGAAGTGATTCTCTTGCCAAATCGTTAATTTGGGCGTCGACACGGCCAAAATCCCCACCTTGGCCGTCTCGTGGGCATTGGGTGGCGCGTGAACGGAGATTACAGAAGGATTGACCCGTGAATTCCTTTGAAATGCGAAAGCGGTGGATGAGGCAGGCTTAAATACTCGAATGTTAACTAGGCTGCTGGAGCGAGAGCGCTTCATGTTTGATTTGATGCTCAATTTCCTGTTTTTGGTTTTGTTTTGAGGAATTTTAGGGTTACCTTGGAGCAAGCTAATCAAGCTGCGACTGTTTGCTAATTTGCTATGTTGGTGCTGAGTGGCATTATATATGATACTGCAGTCCCACTAAAGGCCAACCAGGGTTATTTTTGGGTAAACTATATGACGTAGTCATTCAATTATCACCTTGATTTCATTTTAGACACCTAACTATTTTTTTCAAAATCTTGAGAATGTTACGTTTTGGTTACTCATCGTTAAAACATAAATAGAATTACCGATTTGACAATATATTTTTTTAGTCGATGATGCGGTATCTTATGACGATACGTCAACATCACTGTTAATTTTTTAACGGCCGGTAACTAAAATGTAACTTTAGGTATGATTTTGAAAAACATAATAGTTGAATGACCAAAAGAAACCAAAGTGATAGTTGAGTGATTAAATACGTATTTTTCCCTTTATTTTTATATTGAAATCATTAGCGATCCTGTGCATCCTTTTATAAATGGTCTACCATTGACAGACACGTGGCCACGTTTCCTAATGACAAAGCACATTTTAAGGTTTCAGCTTTAACGTATGAGTTTTATATATTTATTTTGATTTAAATTATGCCCGATTAATTTAACAAAATATAAGTACTAAAATTAATATGAAAATATGATAATTAAATTTCAAATAAAATAGTAAATCACGATGGATATGAAAAAAGATCTTAACTACTTAACTTTGATTCGACCAACTTAAACTCTTGAATTTAAATTAAAAGTTGTTGTTTTTTATCTCATTATTCTTTTTATCAAAATATTAAACCCTTATTATCAATAATATCTAACGAAAATATATAAAAGAGTCTTACTATTAGTTTAAATATTAAAATTTTATAAAATAATATTGTAATTTATAAATATTAAAAAGTATAATTAATATTATAATGCAATAACAATCTAACATAATAATAATATAAATAAAAAATTATGCAATATATTATAATATAAATTTAGATTTTTAGTATACTTATTTTAAAGAATATTAACTATAAATTTATTATTATGGATTAATTTTAAAGGTAATGAAGGATTCTAGATTAGTTTGTTGAGGTTTGGGTATTTTCTGATGAACGAGACATTGATTCCGCGTTCAGGAGATTAAAAGGTAGTGAAATAAAATTTTTGGGTTTAATAATCAGTGACAACAATAGTTGATGTCAATCAACGACGATGGTGGTAAGTGATGGCTAACGACGAGAGACTTTGGTCAAATTTAAGTGTCAAATTGATAATTTTTAAAGTTTACGGGCTAAAATCATATTTCATCTAACATTTAAAATCAAATTGTATTCTATTTAAAATTCAGAATCAAATTGAAAATTAACCAATTTGACTAACTTGTCACCTCATTAAATTAACATGAATTAATAGCTTACTGAAAAAAAAATATATAATCGATATGATTAAAATTTAATAAATTAAATATATACATGACTAAAATGTAAACTTTCTTTAATTTAATTTGTAAAAATATATACATATAAAAAAGTGATCAATTTGATAATTTACCAAAAGTATTCTCTAAATGGGAGGCAACATGGGGCATCAACAAACAATATACCAATCCCGCCATTTATTTACCATTTCGTGTGAACGTGACTATATTTAATAGAAAAACACACTTTTGTACCAAATATACAATACTACCATTATCTTGTACCTCTGCAATACTGTATCTTTTCCAAGTAACAACATAATACTATCTTTAGGCTTTGGCTTTGGGCTTAATTAGAAAATAAATATCTAAATTATACCATTTTTTCTAAAGTGGTGTCTAAACTTTTTTTCTCAATTAATCTAAGTTCTCAACGTTAAAAACATTATCATTTTAAGTGCGTAACGGCGGTTAAAAAACTTCATTAAGTGATATGTGTCACGTTTTAGTAATTTTTGGAATTTTATTTTAAAAACATAAAATTATTTTTTATTAAAAGAACCCAAAATGTTCAAAAATCTTTAAAAAAAAACCCAAAAACTTTGAAAACTTTTATTTCAATCTTTTACCAACTTCAGTTGCCGCTTTTGCCATTGTTACTATTGGACTTCCACATGATCGAACCTCCGACAGACAACAAGAAGATTTAGGCCACCCAGAACCTAGAACCCGACGAATATGGACTTCCACCCAATTTAAATGTAGTGTTTTTCAAACTGTGACATCCACGAGATTCGCGATACACGATGACTTTTACAACCATATCGACAGAAAGGCTGACAATGACAGGCAAGGAAGATGGCAAGAGCGGCGTCAACATCGGTGGCTATAGCCGGTAAGAGAGGTAAGTTTAGGGATTTCAGTTTTTCTTCTTATAATTTTAGAAAAAAAAGTGTTTTTAAAATATAATTATTTTTTTATTTTTTTAAAAAATATTTTTTTTTAAATTATCGGAACGTGACATATGTCAGTTAACGAAATTTTCTAATGATCATTATGACCGAAGTACTTAAATATAACGTTTGTAACATTAAATACTTAAATGAATCGAAAAAATTTTAAACACCCCCTTCGAAAAATCGATATAATTTAACATTTATTTTCTAATAAGGCTTAGGCCTTTTATGTTGGAAATATATGTCAATGTCAGCTTTATTAGAATGATTAATGAATTATGGACTTTTTTAGCTTCCACGTGTTCATTTAATTAGCCGTCCACTTAAAAATGTAGATTAGGTTATTAAAGTCTTTCCTTCAACCCAAAGAAAGCACCAAAACTATCGTTTCCTGTACATAATTGATTCATTTGTAATGTTCCAAAGCTGGAGTTGTTCACCAAAGTATCTGTTATAAAGTAGGCAAAGTTGGTGAACTAAATAAAGCACAGCTGCCCTCCTTTTTCCATCACATTTTCCCCTTTATAAACCAAGCCCCTTCGACTTTCTCCTCCACAAGCCACTAATACTAGCATACTACTCCATTGGTTCTTTCCACCTCCCTTTCAATCTGTTTAAGAGCAAATTTTGGGTAATCAATGGCAGCAAGAAGAAGGGATGGAACAATATTTGCAGCAGTGTTCATAGTTGCAGTGTGTTTATGGACCGGAGCTTTGGCGCAATCGAGTTCGAGTTGCACCAATGTGCTCATTAGCATGTCCCCGTGCTTGAGTTATATACAAGGAAACTCGTCGACGCCATCTTCTTCATGCTGTTCTCAGCTTGCAAGCGTTGTGAGCTCGCAGCCCCGGTGCCTGTGTGAGGTCCTTAATGGTGGTGGCTCATCGTTGGGTATCGATGTTAACCAGACGCAGGCAATGGCTCTCCCAACAGCTTGTAATGTTAAAACTCCCCCTGCTAGCCAATGCAATGGTTAAATTTCTTTCACTCACACTTAATATTATTAATTTATTATTATTCAATTTTTCCAAGTTTGGATTGATTGATCTTATGTGTTTCATCCGCAGCTTCTTCTCCTTCTGGCTCTCCAAATTCTCCTTCAGGTACAACTTAGAAGAGGAGTTTTAGGTTTAATCAAGTTTTTAACTTTGATGGTCACTATTGTATGAATTCAACTAATTCATTACTGTTATTCTTTTTTTGTGTGGGTAAAGGTGGTGGTTCTAAAACGGTTCCCACGACGGACGATGGCACATCAGATGGGAACTCCGCCAAGCTGTCGTTTTCACTCTTCTTTTTCTTGCTTTTCATCGCGTCGTTGGGCTTTTTCGCCATCTAAGCAGCTCTTTAGCCTATTCTTTCCTCTATCAGTTTTCTCTTTGTTGATTTTCATTCAGTGTGATATCAACTTATTGGGAGGAATAATTGCATTGGTTTTGTTATATACTCAAATTTGAATAAGTAGACGTGTATCAGAAATTACTCTTATATTTTATTACAAGACATTTTGATTTTTAACAAATAACTTTGATTGGGTCAACCGTTAACTGAACAAATCGATTGAATATCCTAAATATATATTGCAACAGCATTCCATTATATAAGTATGAAAAGAAGAAATATTGCATTCTGAACATTAACATGGCAATAAAGGGAACATAAGCTAACTCATTCAATGGCAAACAAGCATGTCGGACAGCAGCTATGGCATCCAGGCAGGAAGAAATCCACTTCAACAACAGCCTCCTGCAATATTTATCCCACTAGCTCCCTGAAAATAGACACACACATAGTTAGCAGCAGTTAAGAAATATCTTATAAACGAAAACAGTTGCCTAAACCAAATTTCCTTCGTAAAGGAATACCTTGCAAGTAGCATGGGACATTCAACAATCTCTAAGAAAGTACACTATGAAGTATACATACCCATTAAAGTTGTGGCCTGCATAGCGACACTGATTAACCTAAGCTAATAAAAACCTTCAGAAACAGAAGCCAAGCCCTTCCCCCTTTTTATTTTAAAAAACAGAAAAAGATGGTGAGAGAAAACACTTAATGGAAGAAACGGTATTTTTAGGATATTTGCTTGTAAAGCAGCAAATTCAGGCAGTGACAGACAAATGAAAGAGTTTACAGGAAAAACAAAGCCCACTAGAAACAAACGACAATGATCGGGGTAAAGGGAATAACGATGATGAGAAGAGGCATAAAAGGAGAGGTCCAAGAATTTTGGTAAAGCAATTTAATGGAGATTCTGAAGACTACCGTATATACAATGATGCTAGAGGAAGAAAGTAGTTAGAACTTAACAACAAAATCAACACTAATCACCAACTAACAAGTACATGATCTACTTCAAGCCCAAACGATAAGTGACAGCCATCGGTGCAATTTCGTGCCAAGAAACTAGTAACAACACCAATGAAAGCTAACTTAACTCCTCTTGACCCATGTTAACGACCATCTTATTCAATCCATATACAATCTAAAACTAGTAACACCAATGAAAGCTAACTTAACTCCTGACCCATGTTAACAACCATCATATACAGTCTAAAGCTAACTCCAAATTTGCCACATCAAACTGATTTCCAAACTCCTCCATTCTTTTCAGTCATCTGTCTGTGTAGTCAAGATTCAGAATTTGATGCAGCGTCTTAGTCGCAGAATCAACATTATGAAAAAGTTCCACAGCAGATGGGCTAAGCTCCCTAGTAGGAGATGAAGCCGCAGACTAGGCAGTTGGGTAAACATTGACAACTGGGACAGCAGCAGGCAAATCAAGGGACATTGTCCTCTTCACTCGAGGTGAGAATTTGGGCACTGGCAAAGAGCTCGGCGGTGGTGAATTGGAATATGCAGGTCCGGCCCAAAGCTCAGAGTACATAAAACCTTCAACAGAGATCTCATTAAAATACTTATCCTTTCTAGGGTTTCTGTTGTCATTGATAGGAATTACAGAGCTTTTCCTGGTAGTTTTTGAATGTGAATCATTAGCAGAAGTTGATAGTAACTTTGTGGGAGATGGTTGTTTGCTTATAGGGGTAGAACTATACTTGAACGGAGTTGGGAGTAATCCTGCACCGGGTTGAAAAGTCCTGCCGTTCCTCTGAAATTTCTAGAAGGTGAAGACCCAGACCCAGCTGGTCCATGTGGGTTCGCCCTGTTACAATATTGATTCCTATGCTCCGCCACAACAAGAGTCTCCATAATTTCCTTAATTTTGATAATGAAAGTGAAACCCCTACTGATTTGTTGAGCATATTCTAGAAGTTGCCAACTCAGCATAGTTGGTTATCCAGCTCAGCACGATTAGTTACTAGACTTAACAAACTTAACAAACTCACAAACTCAGCTGCTAATGCTAATCTGTTTCAACATATTGTATATATACAATGTAGTGTATTATGAACAACAAGAAAGGAATAACACTTCTTGATTTACTTCAACACTTTGTTTTTTCAACATGGTATCTTTCGCCATTGATCTTGGAGGCTTCTTCCCTCCGTTGCTTCTCTGATAATTTCTGCAAAGTTCGTCTTCTTCTTTCTCCACTAGTGTTTCGTCCATGGCTGCTGAGGATGTTGTGCACAGCCTTGATCTTGGAGAGTCATCGAGACACAGTCGCTTGTTCACCAACAAGAAAATTAATATTGTGCTCAATGAAATGAATTACCTGTTATGGAAACAACAAGTTCTTTTAACAGTAAGAAGTCATCGCCTGGAACGGTTGCTCACTGGGGATCTTAAACCTCCGCCGGCGCAGATTCAGTCCGGAGATGGCACACTTGAAGTCAATGAAGATTACGAGATCTTTGTAGCACAGGATAGTGCCTTAGCCTCCTGGCTGTTATCAACAATCAGCGATCACATTTTGCCTCAGTTCGTTGGTGCAGAAACAGCCGCGGATGTATGGTCAACGGTTCTCAAGTTTTTTGCCAACCGATCCACAACGACGGTAATGAGCCTCCACTGCAAGTTGAGGTCGATTAAAAAAGGTGATGAGAGTATGCGATCGTATCTTACACAGATCAAAGAAGTTTGTGATGCACTAGCTGCGTGTGGAAGTGCGATTTCAGATTTGGAACAAATAGCCACTATATTGAATGGCTTACCGTTTGATTATCAACCGTTTATGGCGGTTATAACGGCGAGCAAAGAAGCTTTCTCTCTTGATGGAGTAAAGTCTGTGCTAGTTGATGCCGAGGCACAACTTAAGAATTTTCAGCTTCAAACTCAAGTTTCCATGAGTGCAAATGTTGCTCGTGTGCAGAGCAACAATCAAGGTCATGGTCAGTACAATCGACCTTATAGTTCGAGTGGCAGATCTGGTGCACGAACGGGAGCTCGTGGTCGAGGACGTACTAGGCTTCAATGTCAACTATGTGGCAAGACTGGTCACTCAGTGGACAGATGTTGGCATCGCTTTGATCAGAATTTTCCAGGAGTGTTAGCTCAAAAAGACGAATCTACTGCTGTAGATATTAACTCGTGTGAGGTGACTAATTCATACAATAACAATGTGCATCCTCAGGTTCATATGGTCTCTCCAACCTCAGACATGTGGATTGTAGACTCGGGAGCCACACATCATGTCGCCCCCGAGGCTTCTAAAGTAATCGATGGCTCGGACTACACTGGTCCAGGTAAACTGGTCGTGGGTAATGGTCAAGCTTTAAACATTAGTAAAACTGGAACTGTGGTTCTCAATGCTAAGAATCGAGCTTTGTTTCTCATAACTTGCTACATGTTCCATCAGTTACTAAAAACTTACTCTCTGTCTCAAAGTTTGCTAGAGACAATGGTGTCTATTTTGAGTTTCATGCAAAGGAGTGTCTTGTTAAAGATGAAGAAACGGATGCTGTTCTGTTGCAAGGACAAGAGAGTGGTGGACTGTATCAGTTTGTTACCACAGTGGATGATCAACATAATGGTGCAAACGATTTAGAAGCAAATGTAGTTAATAAAGTTTCAAGTGATGTGAAAAGTTCTTATACTTCATGGCACATGAGACTTGGGCATCCAGCTCATGCCTCACTTGTAAAAGCTTGTAAACACATTGGAATTGTTTTCCCTACTACTGCGAGTACTGTAAATGGTGATATGTGTGTTGCATGTAAAATGGGAAAAAGCCATAAGATTCCCTTCAATGAATCCTCTATAGTTTATACAAATCCCTTCCAGCTTGTATTCTCAGATCTGTGGGGGCCTTCGCATATTGTTTCAAACAGCTTTTACTATTATGTTTCGTTTGTTGATGCACACACGAGATATTGCTGGGTATACTTGTTGAAAACCAAGAATCAAGCCTTACATGCTTATCAGTCGTTTCATGAAATGGTCAAAACACAGTTTGGTGCTGTGATTAAAGAAGTGCAAACGGATTGGGGAGGTGAGTATCGTCCTATATCTTCACTGTTGACAAAGCTGGGTGTTCACCATCGGTTGTCTTGCCCACATACTTCAGAACAGAACGGAGTGGTCGAAAGGAAACACCGCCACATCGTTGAATTGGCCCTTGTCTTGATGGCTCAAGCATTCTTGCCGTTTAGATTTTGGTCATATGCAGTAAGCACTGCAGTTCATCTAATCAATCGCCTTCCCACACGAGTTTTGCAAGGAAAGTCACCATTTGAGGAGTTGTATAACAAATTACCAGATTATGGTTTTTTAAAAGTATTCGGGTGTAGGTGTTTTCCTCATCTTCAAGCTTATCAAGGTCATAAACTGAGTTATAGGTCACAATCGTGCACCTTCCTTGGATATAGCACACAACATAAAGGATATCAGTGCATGGCGTCTGATGGGAGGATTTACATCTCGAGACATGTCATTTTTGATGAACAGTTTTTTCCTTTTGCAGGTAAACAAGATGTTCAAAACAATGGTCACAACCTTACAAAATTGACCATGCAGCTGCCTGTGGTTAATGGAGCAGGTAGAGTTTGCATGAGAGTAGGTGTGCCACGCGAAAGTCAAGAACAACCACCCATCGTGCCTGTGCAACCTGCTACAATGTCTCCAGATGTAGGACAACAAACGTCTAGTTCTAGTCCTACTATGGATCCAACTAGGGACAGTGTGGGGCACTCGAATGAAGTTGAACAAGAGATTACCAATCAATTACCTAATGACACTAGTTTAACTCAAGGTGAGTTGCAAGGTGTGATGCAAAACACGATTGATGAAGCACAGTCAGCAGTTGCTCCCATTACTCGACACCCTATGATGACCAGGAGCAAATGTGGGATATTCAAACCAAAGCTCTATTCCATAGCTCATGTCGAGGCTGAGAAGGAACCAAGCTCGATATATGAGGCGTTGCAGTCCCCTCAGTGGAAGACATCAGTTAATGAGGAATATGAAGCATTAGAAAGAAACAGCACGTGGTCCCTTGTTAGATTACCTGAAGGGCGATCTATAGTGGGGTGCAAGTGGATCTTTCGAGTAAAGAAGAATACAGATGGATCGGTGCAGAGATACAAGGCCAGACTTGTGGCCAAGGGATTCACACAAGTTCCTGGACAGGATTTTCAGGAAACTTTCAGCCCAGTGGTTAAAGCCTCTACCGTTAATGTCATGTTAGCACTTGCAGTCCAGAACAATTGGGAGATGAGGCAAGTTGATGTGAATAATGCCTTTTTGAATGGTGAGCTTCATGAGGATGTATTTATGCGGCAACCTCAAGGCTTTGAGAAGGTAGCTCCAGATGGTTCTCAGTTAGTCTGTAAGCTACATAAAGCTTTGTATGGTCTTCGTCAAGCCCCGCGTAACTGGTTTGCAAAATTGAGGAATTATGTGATTAGCATCGGTTTTAAGAGCTCACAAGCTGACAACTCAATGTTTATTAAGCAAGAAGAAGGGCAAGTGATGTACATTCTGGTTTATGTCGATGATATAATCATCACTGGCTGCTCAAAGGATGAGATTGAAAAGGTAGTTGTCTTGCTGAGCAAGAAGTTTTTCCTCAAAGATCTTGGCCAGTTGAACTACTTTCTTGGCGTTGAAGTTAAGCATACAGGTGGTGCTATCTTCCTTAGCTAAAAGAAATACATCATGGAGTTGTTAACCAAGATGTGAATAGATACAACTACTTCAACTCCTACGCCTATGATTTCTTCACTGAAGTTTTTCAAAGATTCGGGTGATGAGATGAACGATGCAAAAGAGTATCGAAGCCTGGTGGGATCACTCCTGTATGCGTGTCATACAAGGCCGGATATTGAATTTAGTGTGAACAAGTTGGCTCAATTCATGCATGCACCCCGGGAACAACACTTTATTGCAGTAAAATGGATTCTACGATACCTTCGAGGGACTCTTGACTATGGTCTGGTGTTTTCTCCGAGTAATGAGCCAATTCAACTTACATCATTTGCAGATGCTGATTGGGGAGGTAGTATATATGACCGACGCTCGATATCCGGATGTTGTGTGTATCTAGGTGGGAATCTTGTCATGTGGAGTTCAAGAAAACAGAAAACGGTGTCAAGGTCCACCACTGAAGCCGAGTATAGAAGCTTAGCAGACGTTACATCAGATGTAACTTGGTTGGATGCGTTGTTAGCAGATATGGGCGTTCGAATGCAACCCTCACCTGTTATTTGGTGCGATAACTCAAGTGCAATTGCAATGAGTGAAAATCCTGTGTATCATTCAAAAACTAAACACGTTGAACTCGATGTTCATTTCGTTAGAGAAAAGGTTGCATCTGGGAAGTTGAAGGTCAATTATGTGCCTACTGCATACCAGGTGACTGATGGGCTAACCAAGGCTCTGCCAAAAGATCGTTTTGCTGAGTTTCGGCAAAGGCTGGGAGTGTTGCCGTTTGAAAGCTTGGAGCAGCAGGAAGGATGTTGAAGAGTTGAAGCAGCAGGGAGGATGTTGAGCATATTCTAGAAGTTGCCAACTCAGCATAGTTGGTTATCCAGCTCAGCACGATTAGTTACTAGACTTAACAAACTTAACAAACTCACAAACTCAGCTGCTAATGCTAATCTGTTTCAACATGCTGTATATATACAATGTAGTGTATTATGAACAACAAGAAAGGAATAACACTTCTTGATTTACTTCAACACTTTGTTTTTTCAACATGATTAAACGATTCAGCTGAATCCTTTGATAACCCAACTTCTAGCCATACTATATCCTCGTTACAGGTTACTAAAATACGATAAGGGTGACAATTTTGAGACCGAAATCACACACAAAACGACACCGTCAAGCTCTAGAACTCCGCCATCGTAGATCCAGCAAGATTCAAAGGAAAATCATGGTAATAACAATAACACACTACTCTGTTGCCGCGAATCAGGATCTTATTAAATCACAATCATCAAACTGTATGCAAAAAGGAAGGGGAAAAATGAGGGAAAGGCAGCAATAAAAAGGAAAAAGGAACATGAAACCTAAACTAAGACGAAAACGAAAAATGACAGTGGTTTTTTCTCGGCATAAACTTGGGAGTGAGAAAATTACCGGGGAAAAAGAAGTATGCACCAGAGAAATGCTGAGTGTGGAGTGATCTGATATTGTTAGAGCTGAAGCCTGAGTTCTTCTTCTTTTTC